CAAAGTTGTAGCACCTAAAGGGGAATTAAGTTAATGAGCCACTCTAAGCTCTGGGAGAGAGTTGTGGAAGCAAGACTTAGATGAGAGGTGACTATATTTGAGCAGCAGTATGGTTTCATGCCAAGAAAGAGCACCACAGATGCCATCTTTGCTTTGAGAACGCTGATGGAGAAGTACAGAGAAGGTAAGAAAGAACTCCATTGTGTCTTTGTGGATTTAGAAAAAGCATATGACAGGGTGACGATGGAGGAGGTGAGGACACGTATGAGGACAGCAGGGCAGTGCTGTAGGAGTGACGGATAGCTTCAAGGTGGAGGTGGAATTGCATCAAGGATTGGCTCTGAGTCCCTTCTTGTTTGCTCTGGTGATGGAATGACTAAAAGATGAGGTCAGATAGGAATCCTCATGGACTATGATGTTTGCAGATGACACTGTGATCTGTGGTGAGAACAGGGAACAGGTAGAAGAGAACTTGGAGAGGTGGAAGAGGAATGAAATTCAGCCGTAGTAAGACAGAGTACATGTGTGAATGAGAGGGAGGCTGGTGGAACAGTGAGGCTACAAGGAGCAGAGGTCACAAAGGTGCAAGACTTCAAGTACTTGGGGTCCACTGTCCAGGAAAATAGGGAGTGTGGTAAAGATGAGAAAAAGAGAGTCCAGGCAGGATGGAGTTGATGGAGAAAAGTTTCAGGAGTGATTTGTGACAAAAGGGTGTCAGCAAAGGTCAAAGGAAAAGTTTACAAGACAGTGGTGAGACCAGCTATGTAGTATGGTCTGGACAGTGTCATTGACAAAAAGACAGGAGAAAGAACTGGAAGTGGCAGAAATGAAGATGTTCAAGTTTTCTCCTTAGGCATGACATGGATGGATAAGATTAGGAATGAGATCATCAGAAGTACAGCACAGGTTGAACAACTGGGAGATAAAGTTAGAGAGGCCAGACTGAGATGGTTTGGACATGTTCAGAGGAGGGGCAGTGGGTATATTGGTAGAAGGATGTTAGAAATGCAGCCAGGAAAAAGACAAAAAGGAATGCCAAAGAGGAGATATATGAATGCAGTTAGAGAGGACATGCAGGCAGATGGAGTGAGGACAGAGGATGCAGAGGACAGTGAGATGGAGGAGGATGACTCGTGGTGGCGACCCCTGAAGAGGGAAAACCCAAAAGAAGAACCAATAGTTATTTCATGTTAGGTTAAAGAATGGTCCAACTGGGCAAACGGTCGGAAAAGCGCAAATTTTCACTTCATCCCAAAAATCAGTAAATGCGAAGGACCTCAAACAGAAGAGTTTCTTCTTCTTTTCTTTGGATCCTACAGAAGTGCAGATGCTGTGTTGCGGTACTTATCCCCGAGAGAGCTTGTGCCCCCGATTTACTATTTAGAGGGCTTACTAGGTCAAAGTTGATGAGTATCTGTGTTTACTGCTTTGTGTGCACTCGCAAGACAGGGAGAACAAATCCTTTCCTGTTGAGAGCAGAACACCGACGATTCTGGTTAGGAAAAGTCAGCTGCAAGGATCAGCCTTTGAAAACATCTAGAATCTGCTCCAATCACTTTTATTCCGGTAAACAAAAAAATTCTAAACCAATCATTTTGTTAAACATTGTCAGAGTATAACTGTTTGCGTGCTGGTACTCTGTTCATGATTTAGAACATCTCTACTGTAGTTAGCTCAGCTATGCACTAAACCTCCACACTTTAAACACTCACTCTGCCCACATAGATACCCATGTTGTAATTATGAGCATTAGTTGCACCGGCACACCTCAAAGTCATAAAAATATCCTAGTCGTCAATGTTTATGTGCTTTTGGCATTATGATGGCTTAGTGGTTAGCAGTGTCGCATCACATCAAGAAAGTCCTGGGTTTTAACCCCGAGTTGGGTCTGGGGTCTTTCTGTGAGGGTGTTGCATGTTTATATTTTTATTTATTTACTTAAACCTTTTTAGGGGAGTGGTGGCGCAGAGGTTAGAGAAGGTGGGCCTGTGATCTGAAGATCGCTAGTTCAACTCCCGGTAGACACAACATCAAAATGTGTGTGAGAAAGGTGAAGCACCCACACCTGCCTCCATCCTCACTTGTCCCACTCTGGGCCCTTGAGCAAGGCCCTTAACCCCCCACCATCTGCTCCCCCATGTGCCCTTGACGTCAGCTCTCTGCTCCACATAGAGGGCTGTAGTAGCTCGGTGGTCTGTGGTTGTGTCAGGAAGGGCATCCGGTGTAAAAATAATCACCAAGTCTTCATGCGGCTTAGTTTGCTGTGGCGACCCCTGAAGAAGGGAGAAGCCGAAAGAAAATTTTTTTTTACTTAAACCTTTAAAAGGCAGCTTCATGCACTACGCCCATCTTCCGGACAACTGCATGTACATGTTCTCGTATCTTGGTGCAATGATAATAAAGCTTATTCTGATTCTTTATTTAACCAGGTAGCTCTCAGTTCAACCATCCTTCACAAAAAACAAAAAAAACAATTATATCGATTTCAGGCTGCAAAGCTCCTCCATTGTGTAGGTACTTTTTGTGTTCACTAAATTATATTTTCAAAACGAGCTTGGAGGCAGCTCATCTGCGTCATCTGACATGTTCTCTTTCTCTACCTCATATGGATCAATCGCAACAGCAGCGATTTTCTGGACATATCTCTTACACATTGGTCAAGAGTCTGAAAGCCATCATGATCGTCATTGTCTAGTGCTCGTCTACTATAAAGGCCAGTTGAGACGTGTGGGAACTATGTATAAGCTTTCCACACCCACCAGCACCCTGCAAGGAAATCCATCCATATATGAACCAGTTTGTTTTTTCCACAGCCAGAGATCAATCACGTTGTGTTGTCAATTTAAACATACCTCCTAGATTATATTTGAACTTTGCCTTGTTATTGCTGCATCTAAATATATGAATTTCATCAGTCATGCAACCAGTAAGCAATATTTATACATACAGCTGCAAATGGGAATTATAGATCCTGCACTGATCTGTGTACAGTAGTCTCTCACTCTTTCGCAGTTCGAATTTCGCGTTTTTTCAACGATTGTCAACTTTAATATTGCTCACTTGATTGGGACCGTACATATAAAAAATTTAACTAAATAGAACCAAACAAAACAAAACAAAAACTATGGCCAGGTGCCACAAATTTGTATTTTCTTTCAATAAGTTTACTGTATTGCCAGTCAAAAAGAACTGCAAAATCCAGAAGGCAGCAGTGCTTCCAGCCTGCTGCGTTCTGCCAAAATGGAGGGAAAGCTTTGATCCGATCCGAACCAGACTAAAAAGTTTGGTCCTTATTCATAGTGACATCGGTGCTCAGTGGTTGTAGAGAGCCGGTCAGAACTGGACCAAAACTACTTCCAGCCTCATCGGTCAATCTGAGTGCTGCTTGCCGGCCCAGGGAGCCTCTCGAGCGGGGAGGTGTTGCTTGGAGGTCCGGTGTTTTTTCCAGTGCTCACCCGGACTTTTTTTCCCCATCGGATTTCTCTGGATTATTTGGACTCAATCAAGACCATTGTGTGGTTTTGTACTGGCTCTCTCCAAAAGTGTCTGGTGCTCAACGGCTGCAGAGAGCTGATCAAAATACAACCAAAACTGGACCAAGGCTGGTGAGCCTCCATATACATATAATAGAACTTTATTGATCCCGCAGGAAATTGCTACTGTATTCATACCCATCTGCTCACTGTAGACCCATGTTTGGGCTGCTGTTTTATATACCTTATTATTTTTACATTATTAGTGTTTAGCGTATATCTTAGATACTGTTTCTTTTTATAGTTTATATTTTTACTATTTTTGGGTGTAACTGGGACCTTGAGTACACAGTTTCGTTCTACCTCATGTACTGCATGTGATGCGAATGACAAAAATACTTGAACCTTGATATAAAATTTTGCAGTAGCTACTGTGCAGTACATATATGTATGTTGTTAAAATGATGTAGTTTTAAGAGTCTAAAACATTACAAGTGTGAGAAGGGTTTCTAAAGCCTTAAAAAAATTAAAAATTATTTATATATA